CCCGCCTCGGAGTCGTGGGGGGGGGGCGCTCTCCAGGCCTTCCCTCTGTAGCCACGCACGCAGAGGTTTTGACTGTAGTGGGCGTGGCCAGCTCTGAAGCCAGCCGGAACTCTGTTCCTGTGTGTTCCTGTCCAAAAATAGCCCTGGATGCATTGAAATCACTCAAATAGGACGCTGAGAATCGCACAAAAATGTAGTTGACATTCAAAATTTCCCTGTAGGCAATGCCTGTTCTGTGTTGAGGTAAACATCTCATTTTGCTGTCTTGATTATTTGTTTGCAAACAGCATTCAAATTGTTTTGCATCTGCACAAAGGCAGAACAGAATCAAAGGGAAGCCCCTTGTTGCCTGTGGGTAGGTTCCTAGCTGCACCATGAATTACATTTATTGAGATCATATAAAACCATTTATTTTGTGACTGTACTGAAATTATCAACTACTTTTCACTAATATCCAGAATGCAGTTCAATAGTACGCAACCTGGGAAACCTCCGGGTGATTTTTATCAAAAATGCCAATTCCTACATTTAAATTTCACATACTTTAGAGTGGATTATGAATTAACCTAACTAGGGAGAAAAGTTTCTGGTTTTGAACTCACATTTCTGTTTGGGGGACTGTGGGGTAGACAAGGATGGCTTTCCTGATAAATTTAGGTTGTGTAGATTCTGATGCTTTTGAAGAAGAGGAGTATCTTCTAGAAGCGATATATCTCCTTGTACAGACATTCCCAACACTTGGTAGTGAACAGCAATTATCTATTTCATGTATCATATGTATAAAGGACATTTCAGTACAATAGATGGCATGCATAATATTCCATGTGTATCAATAAAACTTCATTAGTGTAGTGCCATGGCTAAGAGACTGAAATACAGGTCAGGAGGTCCAAGAGTCAAAGCTCATCTCTGCAACAAACTCTGTAGGTGGCCTCCAGCAAGCAACTCTGCAATGAGGGGATACTAAGATTCAGGTTCCTTGCAGGGTTGTTGCGTAGATTAAGACAAAATAACATGTATTGCTGCTTAAATACTAAAAACATTGTTATTATGCTTTCATGACTTTTGCATAGGAATATTGTCACATGTACACTACCTATACAGCTTCTCATTCCCATTTCCATCTATATTTAAAGTTCACTGTGATCTAGAGAAATACTACTCTGGAAAGAAGAATCAGCTTTGTTAGAATCCACATTTACATTTAATGGGTTGATGAGAATATGAGAATATGAAGATAAAAATGGCTAGATGTTGTATTTAAATACGTAACAGTGACATAGCACTCACTAAAGTGTGGAGGATATCAGTGAAAGCATTGTTCCCTGACCACAGGTCACCTATATAGAGGGGCATATATTAAATGGTTGTTAGGTTTGTGCACAGTAATATTTAAACAATGTCTTGACAGTCACATAGATGAGAATTTTATGTTTTATGTTAAAAAAACTCGGGATGTGTGCAATTACTAGCTGAGACTCTGAGTGTCGCTGTTGACCAACCAAGGCTGAACAATCCCAGATCAGCTGCTTCAGAGCTGAAAAAGCAGAGAGATCAGACCCAGGCAGAACATCGCTGCACAGAGAATCTGAAACAGAAGACCAAATCTCAGTTGCAAGAGGATATTTGCACTTTCTGGGCAGATTCAGTCATCCCTGAAATACAAAATGCCAGAGGGACTTCTCCTACAGCCAAGAATGCCAATAGCAAAATGCCTGAAGGATTGCAAAAGAGGAGCTGTATTTTGCATGCTATTTGCTTCCATCTGCAGAGCCATTTCCAGACAGATTCATTACTCCATTCCTGAGGAAACCGAGAAAGGCTCTTTGGTGGGGAACATTGCAAAGGATCTGGGACTGGATGCAAAAGACCTTTCAGACCGTGGGATCCACCTTGTGTCCCAAGGAAGGAGTGAGTATTTTGCTTTGAATTATAAGAATGGCTATTTGTACACCACAAAGAGAATAGACAGGGAAGAGATCTGTGGTTGGCAGGAGACATGCATCTTGAATGCTGAGGTTATTGTTGGGGATTCCATGAAAGTCTATGGAGTTGAAGTGGAAATCATGGATATTAATGACCATGCCCCCACTTTCCAGTTAGAAACACTAATTATTAATATTAGTGAGAACACAGCACTGGGGTCCCGATTTCCCCTCTACGAAGCTCAAGATCCTGATTTTGGGAACAATTCCCTACAGGGCTACAAACTCAGTAGCAATTCTTATTTTTCTCTCAGTGTGCAAAGAGCTGTAGAAGGCAGACACTATACAGAACTAGTGCTAGAGAGGCCTTTGGACCGAGAGGATCAAGCCGATCACAACCTTGTTCTCATGGCACATGATGGGGGAGATCCTGTCAGAAGTGGCACTGCAAAGATTCATGTGGTAGTTCTGGATGCTAATGACAATGCACCTATTTTTAGCCAGCGTGTCTATAAAGTGAATATTAAGGAAGATACTCCTGTCAGTACCATGGTGGTTGCATTAACAGCTAGTGACAGGGATCAAGGAACGAACAAAGAAATAAAATATTCATTACGAAAAATCTCATCAATAGCTTCCCAAATATTCCATTTAGATTCAAACTCAGGTGAAATAACTCTTGTTGGGAATGTGGACTTTGAAGAGACTCCATTTCATGAAATGGAGGTCCAAGTCCAAGATGGCGGAGGACTGTTGGACAGCGCAACCCTCATGATAATTATTACTGATGTAAATGATAATGCACCAGAACTAGCAATAACGTCTGTCATCAACTCTGTCCCTGAAGATTCTCCAGCAGGGACTTCAGTAGCTCTTTTAAAGGTTCAAGACAAAGATTCAGCAGAGAATGCAGAAGTCACTTGCTCTGTTCCAGACAACCTCCCCTTCCTACTGACAAAATCTTATGATAAGTACTATAGTTTGGTTACCTCCAAAACCCTGGATAGGGAACAGGTAGCCATCTATAACATCACGGTCACAGCGATGGACCATGGCACGCCTCCACTTTCTGCATCTATTACCATTCCCCTCAGGATCTTAGATACCAACGACAACCCTCCCTTCTTCCCAGAAACTGTTTATACTTCTTATATAATGGAGAATAATCCAAGAGGGGCCTCCATATTTTCCCTGAAGGCAGATGATCCAGATTGGGGGGAGAACTCCAGAATAACATACTCCATTGTTGAAGAAGGTGTCAAGGACTCCCAGCTCTCCTCATGCCTTTCAGTTAACTCTGAGACTGGTGTTATTTATGCCCTGCGTTCCTTTGATTATGAAGAGTTCCAGCAGATTGGCTTCCTGGTCAAGGCCCAAGATGGAGGATCCCCTTCACTCAGCACCAAAGTCTCAGTGACTCTCTTCATCTTGGATCAGAATGACAATGCCCCCCAAATCTTATACCCTTCTGTCCCCACCGATGGCTCCACTGGAGTAGAGTTGGCCCCTCACTCCTCAGAGCCTGGATATCTAGTCACAAAGGTGGTGGCAGTGGATGCAGACTCTGGCCAGAATGCCTGGCTCTCCTATCAGCTACTCAAGGCCACAGAGCCAGGGCTGTTCTCCATAGGACTCCACACTGGAGAGATCAGGACAGCCCGCTTCTTTCTGGACAAGGATGCTCTCAGGCAAAGCCTGGTGGTTTTAGTGAAGGACAATGGGCAACCCCCTCTTTCTGCCTCAGTCACGGTCACTGTGGTGCTGGCCGACAGCATCCCTGAAAGCCTCTCTGATATTAGCAGCATCTCAGCTCCTGCAGACCCCCAGTCGGACCTCACCTTCTACCTGGTGGTTGCTGTGGCTTTTGTCTCCTGCTTGTTTTTCACCTTCCTCCTTGTGTTGCTGGCACTCAGACTTCACAGATGGAGGAATTCTCAGTTATGTGATTCTGGTAGTGTGACTTTTACTGGAGTTCCAGTTTCACAGTTTATGGGGATTGATGGAGTCCAAGCTTTTCTTCACTCCTACTGTCATGACTTCTCTCTCACCACGGACTCTCGGAAGAGAAATTTTGGCTTTCCAAAGGGTAACTCCTCAAATACTCTGCCCAGTCAACAGCCTTGTGTAACTCCTCAAATATTCTGCCCAGTCAACAGCCTTGTGAGATGAAGGATCCCTTCCTTACGGCTGAAGATATAGCCAGCAGTAATAGTGACTCTGCCACAATGCAGGTGAGCTATCCATGTCAAAGCTGGGGTTTTGAAATAACTTCCGCATTGCTATTCATATAATCTATATATTTGTTTTGAAATAATGTTTTTGAGAGTGGAAATGGAAGGTAATTCATCTCCTGCAGAGTTTTTAATGTCCTTGGATTTCCTTGCCATACATTTAGCACCCAATAAGTTGAATCCAGTCAAGAACTAGAGTTCTTCCGTGAACAGAAGTGCAAGAGGAGAGGGCTGTAGCTGCTTCCTTTAAGTCAAACTGATTATATCCCTATTTCCATTTCCACTTATGCAAAACTTTGTGCGGCTAGTTTCTGGGTGCTATAATATTTAGGAAGGAACGCGCTAAGTGTTGCATAAGATCTTGCGGAAGTGGAACTCCAAGTCTTTTTTTCTACCATGCACTCTCTTTCTATGGCTTGAAAAGTCGTTGCTAAAGAGAACAAAGAAAGAAAGAGCTTGGGCAATGGTTTACCTATTTTTCTTTGGCAAGAAGTGAAATATTATGATTTATGCCTAATAGTTTGCTGATATATACATTAATAGTTTCTTTCTTGCCTTCTGTAAACATTGTTCTTTTGCCAACCTAGGTATAACCTGGGAGATCCCATGACTGGGATCGTCTGTAGTTTATTAAAAAACTTTGGAGGGGGGGATGGTGCAGACCAGGCCAGAGGCTGTGGAAGAGGATATTTAAAATTATGCAGATCACACACACAGCTGCTCTTTGACTTTTAAAAGAAAACTTACAAGTACTGGGGCCCTTCTACAGAGCACATAGCAGTGCTGGTAGAGCAATAAAGGTAAAGGTTCCCTTGCTCAAAAGCCAGTTGAATCCGACTCTAGGGTTGCAGTGCTCATCTCCGTTTCAAAGCCGAAGAGCCAGCGCTGTCCGAAGACATTTCCGTCGGTCATGTGGCCGGCATGACTAAACGCCAAGGCGCACGGAACGCTGTTACCTTCCCACTGAAGTGGTACCTATTTATCTACTTGCAATTTCTTGATTTCGAACTCCTAGGTTGGCAGGAGCTGGAACTAGAGACGGCAGCTTGCTCCATCATACAGCACCCGGGTCTTGAACTGCTGAACTACCAACCTTCCACAGCCTGCAGTTCAGCATCTTAACCACTTGAACCACCGCAGCTCAATGGAGCAATGGAGGCAGGCAAACTAGTCCCAGCATTTCTTTAGATATTTCTTAGATTGCATGAAACCATAAAATTTATGAAAGGTTAGTGTTGACATTATGATAAACACTTGATGTAAAAAAAAATCAGTTTCTGGAAGGGAGTGAAATGATGGAATATAATTGCAAGCATGGCCAGGGAAAACCTTCCATTGTTGTTTAGTGTGGTCGGACGAGCCGAAATATCATTAATTTAAAGGGGAATGAGACTTTATTGCTGGCGTTTTCATGATCAGTTAGTTATGTACAGAAGTAGTGAAAATACATTTATTGGGGGGATAGTGAGACAACCTAATGTTTTATAAACCATGAAGCATTTCAGGAGTACAAATATGTGATGTTCAAATGCGCCCTTTTTATTTCTTTTTTCAGATGTTATCTTTGTGAGCCATTCCATGTTGCTCATATTCTTTGATGGTGTTTCTGATTTTGCTTGTTTCTTTTATGTCATTTTATTCTGTGTATGTGTACTCCAATTATAGGCCAATTTATATACTGTATGTCATTTATACACTAAAAATAGCACCAGCATAATGTTAAAATTGCATTTTATTTAATGGGAAATTTTCAATATGAGGAAACAGGAAACAGAGCAAGTCACACAAGTGGAAAACCAAATCAAAGTGGGGATTTTTGAGTTACAACAGAAGGAATTTGAAATCTAGTCACATCTTGATTTAGGAGTAATATAGCGGAGGAAGTAGAAGAGAAGAAGAAGAAATTGGATTTATACCTCGCCCTTCACTACCCAAAGGAGTCTCAGAGCAGCTTACAAACTCCTTCCCCTTCCCCTCCCCACAACAGACACCCTGTGAGGTAGGTGGGGCTGAGAGAGCTCTGACAGAAACTGCTCTTTTTCAAGAACAGCTGTGCCAGAACTATGGCTTGCCCAAGGTCATCCAGCAGGTGCAAGTGGAGGAGTGGGGAATCAAACCCAGTTCTCCCAGATTAGAGTCCGTGCACTTAACCCCTACACCAAACTGGCCCGGTTCTCCCAGATTAGAGTCCACGCACTTAACCACTACACCAAACTGGCTCTTTCAAGGCAAGATAAGTATGAACCTTTAACACAATGAATCAAAAGAACTTCTATGACAGGCTCTTGTATCTCCCCAACTGTCTGGCAGATTTCCCCCCAAAAAACTTCAGTTCCCCTCAGTGACTGAGTTGCCCTACAGTAGCGTGTATATCTTTTCTGTTAATATAAACTTGAAACTTTGTTTAGATATTGGTTTAGGCTTTAGACCCAATACAGGAAATTGAGGGAAAGACAGGTGTGAAATGGCCCTCGAGGCAAATTAACTTTCAAAAATAGAACAAACATTTTATTAAACAAGCAGGGAACATAGGTATAATAGGGGTAGTCAAGGTTTTGAGATTGCTGAGGTAAAAACTTTCTAATATATACAGAGCTGAATTCTTAGAACATTCACAAACATATATTTGTAGTTTTGTTTCAAGGTTTTCTAGTTCTTTCTTTGAGAGGTACTTTATATTTCAGCACTAACACAGTTCTTATTAATGTTTCTAGGTTTCTCCCTTCAGAGTTCTAGGTTTTCCTTTAGATATTACAGCTTTTCACTAACTCCTGAGGTGTCTAAGTTTCTCCCCTTTATCACAGACCAGGGTTCTCTTCCCAACCCCTTTCAGTGGCAGGAAGTTATTCTCCTAGTCCCTAAGAAGCAATAACTCCTTTTACTATTTGGCTTGTATGAGAGTTCACTGTAACTACCCAGACCTTCTGCCAAACCCTTCTCCAGTATCCTTTGTCTGTATAAGGCTGTCTTGTAGCTTTCCTTACTGAGAATCTAAATTCTCCCTCAGAGCAGTTTTAATATATTTAAGACAATGGGGTGTCTCTTCTCTCTGTAGAAGTACTTTTCTGACTATTGTCTATCAGAAAACACTGACTCCCAAATGTCTCTTCTCTTAAAAAAAAAAAATGTCTCTTCTCTTAGGAGCCAAACCTCTGGCTATTGATCCAGAGATTAGTTTTCAGACAAACCCCAAAAGTCAAAAGACTTATTTTTTACCTCCAGATCAGCTATTTTATTTCCTCTCTCAGCTGATGTTGACCAATCAGTGAGTGAGTAGAGCAGCCAATCATATAATCTCTTCTCTCCAGGGAAGATTAACTCATGAACTCCCTGCCTCTCTAACACAAGCACCATTTTAAAAAGCCTGCCTTTCTGTGCAGTCCATCATAACTTCCTTCTCCTAGGACAAATGACATTGATCAGCTATATATCAACAGTCATGTAAGCTTCTGTAAATACAGGGAAGTATATACTTTCACACTGTGGATGTAGAATCTATAGGGGCATGTTCACACATACACATCTCTTTAGTACTGTGGTAAGGGCTTTCTTCTGGAGGAACACATCAGAACAGAGCTCTGGAGTTCCAGAACCTCTTTGACAAAATTCTTTTTAAAATGTTTAAAAGTTCATGAACTTTCAGTATACAGACTGAAAACTTCATTTCCCTCTTGAGAGTTCCCACGCCTCTTTTAAAAAAAAAGCCCTGTGGTAACCAACCTTTGATGACTTGGCAGCTGAATGTGTGAACTCACTCGACTGGGAAGAATTTATGTTTCATTTGCGGTGAAAGTTCTCTCTACAGCATTATATCTGTGATTGCCCATTCACACATTCAGATCTTCATGCATTACGTAATGGTTATACATGCGTGGAGCAGGAGTTCTGTCATATTCTAGCTACATTCTCACTTCACTGCGGTTTGTATATTTTATAGTTATATTAGGTAGAGGAATTGGCTATGGAAGGTGTGTAGAGAGAACGCACATAGGAAGCAGGATTGTAGGAAGGTCCCATCCCCTACTTATACAGATCAACATAGGCATATACTATGTGCCAGTCCCCATGCAAGTTGCTGACACATACATGTCAAATATAAAAAGGCTTATATGACGTATTTTCTTTAACATGGTGATTTAATGTTGGGCCAAGGAAATCTGCATTCAAATCCACACATAGCAACAAAAGTCACTGGGCATCTCTTGGCCTAGTATAAGTGACGGGGTTGTTTTGAGGATAAAATAATATAGCCCCTGCCTTGCATTCCTTAGAGGAAGGATAGGATAAATATCTGACAAAAATGATATGATATGGATAAGACTGTGAGGTCATGCATCTCTTATATGAAGTTTAAGGGATGAACTCAGTAGCAGAACTCATATTTTGCGTGCATCGGGCCCCAGGTTCTGAGAAGCAATCATAGGGGAGATGGGAACCAGCTTCTAGCAGGTATTGTTTTGGCGGCGGCAGAAGTAAGGGACAAGTAGGACTTTGTAGTTCAGGTGCAGGGCTCATGAATACCCATCTACACGCTGGTAATGCCATCATTCCAGGTCAGTTCCTCCTGCTATCCAAAACCCACATAATGTTTGTTTGTCTGTCTGTTTATACTCCACCTTTCTCGCTGAGACTTGAGGCGGTTACACAATGTAAGTCAATGCAACGTAGGATTATACGTGTAAATAAGCAATGAAGACTAGAATTTCAGAAAATTGCAACAAAACTGTTGTCTCAACAAAGCATAAGTATTAAATATGACATGTTAAACAGTACAAAACATGGTATTAAATAAGTAAACCCCCATGCCTTTTCTGGACCTGCCTGTTACTATGTAGTCCTATTTCCTTTATAATTTTTTCCCCTTTATTTTCCTTCATAAAAATTATGTTTTACATAGTTTGGGAAATGCCTGAAGTGTGGGAGCCTTCCGGACCTCCT